GACTGGTATACATGATGCAGTGATATGAGTGGAACAAGAAAAAAACATTCACATGACTGTAGTAGTAGAGATGAAAGAACCCACAACAAAAGAATCTAAAAAGCACAATTACAATAACCAATTTTTGCTCAAGAAGAGATGAAGAATTCTCCTTTTGTTAGAGAGATGAGAGACTGTGAGTATGGAATGTTACATGCATTGCCAGATGCTACTGCTAATGTTGGGTGGTTTGCTTTAACTGTCTTTGTCATAGGTAAGGCTTACCATGGGGGAGGGGAGGGAGAAATCTGAAAATAACTGTAATGCAAAAAACAAAAGGCTGATCAATAAGACAACATTTTTTAAAAGTTGGTAATAGTGATAAACAATATTAAGCTAAACCAGTAGTTCTCTAACTGTGGCATGCAGATGCTTGATGGTACCCTAAGACCCTTTTTCAAGTGGTCCAAAAGGTCAAAACAATTTTCACACCGATAATGAGACATTATTTTCCTATTACAATATTCTTCCCTTTTCCAACTACCTATCTCTGTGAGGCTGTATGTTCTTTACATACTTCAACCAAAACAACATATCACAACAGATTAAATACAAAAGCAGATATGAGAATTAAGCTATCTTCTATTCGGTCAGACATTAGAGAGATTTGCAAAAATATGTATAACAATGCATTTTTCCCCCTGTTTTGTTTTAGAAAATAGTTATTTTCATAGAAAGTTATGTTCACATGTATTATTTTAAAATGAATGCATAAATATTGTAAATTTTTGTTTTAATTTCTAATATGGTAAATATCGACATAACCTACATAAACAAAAGCTATCTGGAGTCCTCAATCATTTTTAAGTGTGAAGGGGTCTTGAGACCAAAAAGTTTGAGCATCTCTGAGCTAAGTAAAACCTTATAATCTTCTAAATGGACTTTTTGCATGTATGGTTAGACTTGTTTGGAAAAGCAAAAATTAGCACAAAGTAGGCCTGACATCTGCCAACCTTAAGCATAATGACACCTAATCTAAAATGTTAAAAATGAAGATAAAGAATTGTGAAAGGGAAGCCGTCTTTGAGTGCCAGCAAGGGAAAAAAGCTGAAATGAGCCAGAGACTTGAAGAATATTATCTGATGTACAGAACTGGATGGTTCAGAAACCAAAAAGAAGTTAGAGGGAAGTCATTTAGTTCTTCATATTCTTCTAAGGGAGAGGAAAACAGAAGGGAAAACCAGCAGTTTCAGTGTCCCAAAGATACAAGGCAGCTTCTAGTGTAAAATAGGTCAGATATAATGAGGGCTGAAAAAAGGCCATTGGGTTTAGCAATTGAGTTCATTGGTATCTTGGAAAAGCCATTGAAGTGTAATAAAGTCATAAAACATCACAAGGGATTAAGAAGTGAGGTAGCTGAGGAAATAGTAGCATTTGCTAGTGATCAGCTCAGTTCGTGGATACTTTCTACTCTCCTGGTTCTCAGGACATTGCTCTCTCATGGTTCTCTTCCTGTGTGCTCATATGTCAGACTATATCCAGTCCCGACATCTCTATTAAATAGAGACACAGCCCAACTTGACCAATTGCCTGTTCAACATCTCAGCCTGATGTCCTAAAAGCACCTCTGATACTTAACATGTCCAAACTGGAACTCATTTATCTTCTCCCTTAAAAAACAATCCCTCGTCCAAGCTTCTTTATTTCTGGAGAGGGAATAATTTTTTCCAGACCATCTGGTTTACAACCCAGAGAGATCTAGCTCCCATGGATACAATTATAATCTCTGTGTTTATGATTTTCAGATCATCCATCCAATCCTAATCTGTCTTCTGACCTCTAGTCTCACATCTCCAACTGCCTATTGGACACCTTGAACTTGACACATCCCATAAGCATCTTATACTCGTATCCAAGACTGAACTGATGACCTTTCCCACCCACATCCTCCTTTCTTCTTCACTTTTCTTAATACTGTCAAAGGCACCTTCATCCTTCCAGTCATCCAGACTCCCTACTCATCCCCATTCTCGCCGCCTCCCACTTTCCTTCAATCCAGTTGCCAAGTCGTGTCTACGCTTTCACATTTCTCATGTGTGTCCCTCTCTCTGCCAGCCTCGTACCTTAATATGGGCCCTCATCACTTCCCACCTGGACTACTGCAAGAACCTTCTGCTTAGTTTCCCTGCTTCAAATCTCCCTCCACTCCAGTCTATAATCCATTTTATCAAAGTGAGCTTCTTAAAATGCAGATCTGACCATATCACACTGCTGTTCGGTAAACTACAATGGCTCACTATTACCTCTAATATGAAATATACAGCCCTTTGTTTTTTAAAGCTCTTCCTAACCTGGCTCCTTACCTTTCTAGTTTTCTTACACACAGTGACGCTAGTCTCTTTTTTGTTCCTCTCATAAGACATTTTATCTTCTAACTTCTGACATTTTCACTGACTGTCCCTGACACCTGGAACTCTCCCTGATTTCCACCTCCTGGCTTCTTTCAAGTCTCAGCTGAAATCCCACCTTCTTTTCCGAGTCTTCCTTAATTCTAGTGCCCTTCTGAAATTATCTCCAATTTATCCTGCCTATATATTGTTTGAATGTTGTCTTTAAATTGAGCTCCTTGAGAAGGAACGGATTTATTTCTGCCTTTCTTTGTATTTAACAGTTTCTGGAAAATAGTAGACATTTAATGCTTGTTGATCTCACTTCAGTATCACCTGAACATATTATAAGCAATCACCAAGTCTTGTCATTTTTACCTCCTCCTTCCCTCTTCTCTCCACTCATAGCACAAGCATCCTAGTTCAAACCCTTATTTCAAACAGATAGCAGCAGAACTGATACTCCTAAAGCACAAGCCTAACTGTCACTCACTACACTGTACAAGAAGCCCTTCACAATCTGGCTGTAACTTACTTTCCACATTACACAGCAATGCCCTTTAATTGAGGCAGCTGGGTGGTGCAGTGAATAGAATGCTGGGGTCCAGCCTCACACACTAGCTATGAGACTCTGGACAAATCACTTGTCTACCTCAGTTTCCCCAATTTTAAAATGGGGATAATAGTCTCTACTTTTCATGGCTGTCTCAAATGAAGAAATACTGGTAAATCACAGTGCCTGGCACACCCTTCCCCCTTCATACATTCTATACTCCTGCCCAACCTTCCTCTGTGCCTCTGCATAGGCTGTCCTCCTTGCTTCAAGTGCTTTCTCCTCTCATCTGTCTCTTGGCTCCCCTTCAAAGGTAAGCTCATGTGCCACTGCTTTCAGTGGCCTTGCCTACTCCCCCAGCTGCTAGTGACCATCCTCCCTGTCAAATCACTATCTGTGGATACCCCCCACCCCTAGTGGAATGTCAACTGCTGTCCTGTTTGTGCATCTGTGTCCTCAGCAAGTAGGGCTATTCCCAGCATGTGCCTAAAAAAGGCATGTTGATTCATCAACATTATTTTATATTATATCTGAAAAATGAAACATTGATTCTTTTTACTTAGACAGTATTTTCATCATGCCTTTTCAGTTGCTTTTAGCAATTCTTTACTGTTATTGAAGGGAAAAAAACATTTTCTTTACTAAAATTTGTAGAGTATAAGCAAGGAAGAGAAACATGCAAATATAAATATAATAGTTTTTAAAAACATAAAACCTAGGTCATGAATGTTATATTTGTGGGCATTAATTCGCTGCTACTTGGTCATCATTACTTACATATACACACACACACTCACACACACTCACTCACTCACTCTCTCTCTCTCTCTCTCTCCCCCGCCTCCCCCTTTACACAACCAGCAATTCTAAATCCCCAGTCAGTGGGGGAGGATAGAAGAATACTAGAGGGGCAGCTAGGTGAAGCAGTAGATAGAGCTCCAGCCTGGGAGTCAGGAGGACCTGAGTTCAAATACAGCCTTAGGCACATGACACTTACCCTGGGCAAGTCACTTAATCCCGATTGCCTCACCAAAGAAAAAAAAATACTACAGATTATTCCCACTACCTTGGGTCTCCATAACTCTCTACAGATAGAGATCTTGGCTCTTACAACTCTAATAAACCTTAAGCAAAGTTCGTATTTGCCCCAAAAGTACTACAGCTGGATAAAGACACTCCCAATGTTGAAAACTAGTAACAAGGGGCCTATACAAGTCACTTGGAGCGGCAAAATCTTTTTAGGCTTAAGTCTAAAGTAACATTTGGGGTTCCTAGGTGTGAAAATTATATTTTGGGATCTTACTAAGCAATTGTAATTACCTAAAATTACGAAGATGAGGACCCCTCTACAAATCCATGCTAAAAACAGGGCCTAAAAGGGCAGAACTTTCAGGTCTCAGATTGCTACTACTGCTAACAATTGTGCTTGTATGGTTTGCAAAATTCTTCTTTCACAACTGTGCAAAATCAGTATTACAAATACCATTAGTCTCATTTTACAGATGAGTAAAGCAAGGCGAAGAAAGGTTAAATGATTTGTCTACATTCACCTAAATCTTAAGAGTCCAAGTCCTGGACCCCTGTGCCTCTGACCCTGAATCCAACACTCTCCACTATACCACACAAGATTCTTGGAGGGGTGCCAATGTTTATATTAACTCATCTTTACTCTATATGGCATGAAAGATAAAATTGACCCCTATATTTTAGGAATACATCTGAAATGGCAAAACAATTTACTTATCCAACTTTTGAAAGCTGCTGAGCAAACCAAATACCATAATATAATTTTCTCCTTAACTGAGATATGATACTTCATGATGAGGTAAGGCAGTATTTCTCCTGTGAAGTAATAAGAGCATAATTTCTTACACACTACACTATAATTTAATATAATATTTTTAACACCCAACAAAGAATAAAATGCAGGATAAAAGAGCAACCAAACAGTTCCATTCTTAAATATTCCAATGTTAAAAACAATTGTTCAAGACTAAGCAATGGTATGAAAAATAAAATTACCCACAGACAACTTTTTGTTGCAAATATTTACTCAAAAACTAATATTTACAGCAGTGTTTAATAGTTGTTTAAAACATTCAACATTCATTCAAACAAAATTTAAGAGTTCAAAACACATTCTAAAGGAGTAAAATTGCAGCATTTTTTAATGAAGTTTGTCAGTATTTCAAAGCAAACTACTGTTAATCATATTATGCATTCCTACATCTATGAGTTCCTAAGACAGTAAAAACAAACAAAAAATCATTTTTAGCAGCCATCTTATGGACATTAGGCTAAATTCCTGAAATTGATTTATACATTTCTGCTTTAGGTCCCCTTTAAGTCTTTATTTAACATAAAGAAGTAGTTTTAAAATGGCTGAATACATGGCAGAACATGTTTCCAGTTCACTGCTTTACAGTTTCTACATTAAACCGTACTTTGGCTTGACTTACAGACCATTTTTGGGTCTACTTACTCCTAACAAAAATCATTAAAACAACAGTAAAGGCAGTAATAGCTACAGTATTTCCAGTAATGAGTCCTACTTTATACAACTAATACGTCAGGGATTTATGCACAGCTTGCACACTGACAAATAACACAAATATATATATTTTAAGAATTTCACTTTCACTGAAAGTTTAATTAAGGTAAGCTTACAGCCTGGGATGCTAACACCTGTATGGAGGTGCATAGATTCATATAATTCTGTTTACATGCTTCTGACAGACAGGAATGTGACATTAAATCCAAAGGAGTTTTACATTTATCCAAACTGTCATTAGATTAATACATCACTGTAAGCATGCTCCACATTAGCATTACACTCCAAGTTAAACCCTTCTCTGACTCACCAATCAACCATTGTTTTTAACCAATTACCTTAACAAAGGACTTTTCTAAACTTTTTAAAAAATGGTGGAAAAGAATGTGACAGGCTTTCATTTTAGGGAGTTCAAAGATTTTAATAATAATCAATATCCTTGTGTTTCCTTTCTTATGACTGCTTAACTTTCCGTAAGTAATCTTTATGATTACTTACAAGTCACCCCTTTTCTGGAAAAAAACAAAACAAAACAAAACAAACTAATGAAATGAGACTTTTCCATTTCAAATTGAACCTTCATCAGAATACACATACCCTTGTTTAATTGTGCTATGATTGGCAAATTGACTACTTTAATAATAGGCTTAACACACACATACAATGCATGTGTAACCTATCCTTATATTTTTCTATTTCCAAAAGTGTCACTGAGCACATCCAAGATGTTCTTTACCATATTACTGTTATTAATTTTTTAACTAAAACTTAGAATGAATGGCTGATTTCATTTCAACTTGCTTCCTTTTCATCTGTCAGGTTAACAGTTGTTTCTGTTGTACTAGGACTGTTTCCTCTAGAAATGTCATCTGTTTGCTCAGAAACTACTCCAGCTTCCTTGGCTGGAGGTTCAACGCTACCTTTCTGAAGAATCTCGGTGGCTTCGTGCTCAAGCACCTCAGATGGTGTCAAAGGTTCCAAATGAATACTGCCTTGCTCACTAACATCAGAACTAACAGACTCAGGTTCATCTCTTTTTCTCAAAAACTGCTCAAAGCTAACATCATTTGATGTTAATTTCAAATTTTTAGTATTCCGTGAAGAAGGCTTAGCTTCATTGGAGCTGTTAGTCTGATCATTTAAAATCACATTCTCTGAACTTTGGCACATCTTCAATTCAGTTTTGCTATCAGTGTTTTTTTGTTGTTCTTCCATCACCTCTTCGACATCACTATGATCTGAAACAGAACTGAAGAAATTCCTTGAGCCCCTATCCTGGGCTACTAGGTTGGGGTCATTTTTCATATTTAAAATTGTTATACTTTCTTCATTCTTTATTGCTGATGAGCCTTTACATGGATTTACATCACATTCTTTTTTGGCTTCCTCTGAAGAAGCATTTTCTTGTTTGCTGTAAAACAAAGTCATTTATTATTTTTCTCTCCAGCAAAGTTTATTGGAGAAAAATGCTAAAAAGAGAAAAATGTACTAATTAGAAGGATCAAGGAACGCTTGCATCAAAATATATGCCAAGTTACATAAATACAATTAAGATATTTGACACCTTGGCACATCAAGTTTATAGCTTAGAATGAGAACAATACTTCAGGCAATAAAATCAGATGAACCAGGGTCCTATGATAAAGGTTCATAAATGGAAAATATAAGTAATCTCACTTTAAATGAGGTGAAAGAGCATTGGGCCAGGAGACTGGGAACACATGCTCTAAGCCTGGTTCTTCTGTGTTATGAACTAGTCATGTGACCTTGGACAAGTTGCTTAAGCCCTATTGCCTCAGTTTCCTCATTTGTAAAATGAGGAAATCGGTTCATTTAAAACCCCTTACAGCCTACGGTTATCTGGGAACCTTCTGCGATCTATACTGTTTGTAACGAGGAGTAAAACATTCCATTCTTAGACTTGTTGAATAAATAAACCAGTACATCAACTCTCTGCTGGTTATAGCTTTAAGACAGTTCTGCTTAAAGCCTTGACTCAGTGAGTGGCTTTTCAATTGCAGTAAAATTTTTATGTTCTACAAAAAAATATTGCAAGTGGCAATATGCCCAAAAATGAGAGGGAATAAACTTTTGCCTTGTATTTCCTAACTTAAATGCCCTCTTTGTCTAAACATGGGCCATACTCTGCCCTGCTTTATTCTAACTAGGTTATAAATAAAAGCCTAGTAAGGCCTATGTCCAGTATTACTTCTCTGTACCTGTCCATGGGTTTTCTCTTCCCTTGCAAAGAAACAGCAAAATTTAGAGGCATTGCTCATATTTGAGTACATGTCCACATTCAAGACCAATACCATGCTACACTGGACATCCATCCCGTCTATTATAATTTCTACATCAGTATACCGAGAACTTGATTTTTCACTCAAATAGGAATGTATGTAAGATCCCATTATAACAGCTACCATTATAGCAAAAGTCTTTCTAAGAAGAGAAATGTTTTCCAAGTCCCTGTTAAGGGACTATTTCAAAGAATATAGCCAAAGAAAAATAATAAATTGTCCCTTGAAGTTAATAATAATGGGATTTAACCTTTAATAGTTATCATTTTGTCTAAATTTAGGCCGCCTTGCTTTATTTCCCTCCTAGTGTCAAATGTCTTAAAAAGGTTTAATTAACATGAATTTAAAATTAGAAATGAAAAATTTTGTCTATATTAACGACTAGCAGCAGAGAAAGAACTAAGGTCATTTTACCAGTGAAGTTTATTTGAAAAATGTAAAGTGTATTATTACAGAATTCATTTCTCAAAAAACAAAATAATGTTCAAGGAACCTACTATAACATATAGTATAAAGGTAAAGGAGAAATAGAAACACTTTCTTTTAAAAAGGTAAAAAAGATTCATCTTTGTTTAGTATTGAGTTCTATTAGGAATGTTATGATTCTAATTTGACAACGGGGTTTTGGAAATATTTCACATATTTGATGATTTATGCCCTCTTCTATTTTCCATTTGTATATATTTTTAGAAACAGATGGCTATATTTATTGAATATTAGAGTACTGCAATTTATTATTAAATTTCAAATATATACCTATGGCTTTATAAACAAAGGAATGATTTCTAGAAAATATCCAAAATGCAATACTGTTTCAAAGATGTGCATCAAACAGTGTTAAACTTGATCTTTTCCTTGATCTGGGGGAACTAAAAAAATACTGAGGTTAACTATTAATTAAGAAGAAAAAAAAGATTTTCAAATGATTTGGCAGAATGCATTGGCAGTCTTTGTCTTTATAATTTTGAAATTTAATTATAAAATGTATAATAAATGTGCAAAACAAAACAATTTGAAGCTCAAGATTTTATTTCATTTCTTGTCGAGTAAACATTATTTTAAAATTATATTCTACAATAAAAAGCATCAGTACACAAATAATTTGTAAATATTCCCTGGCCAATTACCTGTGAAATAACACAGCCCAAGTGTTATTTTATGTACTTGAATTTCAAGAGATGCAGCTGTTCCTTATATTTACCTTTCAGAAGTTGATGTTTCTGTTTTTCCTTCAGACATATTAGGTCTTGAATTTTTCTGTAATGATTAATGATATTTTTCCTTATGTTCATGACTAAACTAGTAATTAATAACGTAACTCAGAATACAATCTATTTTTATTATGCCAAACTAGATACTAGGAACTTAGCGTGTAGCTTAAGACACTAATAACTTAGGGAAAATTTTTAACATCAAATTTCCATTTAAAAAGTTGACTGACAGTAGAGAATTATGTATCAGGCACTGGAAAGTTCTATAGAATTAAACGTATGAATTGTTAATGTGGTCAAACAAATGGCTATCATAACTTCTAGGGATAAAAAAGTTTCTGGTAAAAGGCAGGGTGCAAATATGTATTCAAGTTACCTTACTCACTGCCTGCTCTTTCTCAAACTATCCAAGAAACATGGACTGAAATGACAGTTAACCAAACTATAGACTAACAATAAAAACTGGATATGAATACTTGTTGAATTACTCAAGAAAGATATATCAAAAGTTACTTAAACAAAACATTTTGGAAATAATTCAAAATTCAACATTCACAAGCCACGCAGTTAATGGTCTCTCTTGCTCCTCAATTTACCTTGTATTATTTACCCACGTGTGTACATGGTGTGCCCCCTCCCCTGGAAAAGAGCAAGATATATTTCACTTTTGCCTTTATATCTCCAGTTTCCAGCATAGATCTTACATAGATCTTATATGTTAAGTGCTAAATGTTTACTAAATTCCCTCCAGTGTAAATACACACAATCTTGGAATAAATCAATGTCATCGCTGTGAAAAAGAATATAAAAATAATTCTTTAATAAATCAAACCCCTCTATTACCCTGAGACAAGTCTTTAAGAGCCCTCAAATACATCTGAAATAGGAACCCTCTCCCACATAAAACAGACTTTGGCAACAAAAAAGCAATTCTCAGCAAGTAATAACAATAAAAACTGTTAGGGGAAAAAAAAGACCTAAAGATCACACAAAAATATTGGGATTGGGAAATCAACAAAGCCAAACAGAAGTAAAAGAACACTAGCGTATGGCAATGTTTGTACAGTTCCAACCTTTTTATGTGAGAGGTGAAAATACATAAGAAGTTACTAGAGACAGTAGAGGAAATAGATTTAATTCAATTAAACAAGCATCTATTATGCTCAAAAAATGTTTATTAAGATAACTGTCTTTATGGAGCTTACAGCCTAATAAAGCAAAAAAAAAGTTAAGAAGTGGAAATCAGGGTGATGAGTAAGAAAGTGGTTTGGTGGGGCCTTGCATGGCTTGGTATAGAAATTACTAAGGTTACTATAAGTTGCTCCTCTAGACAAGTCTCCTTTTCTCCTGCCTTTCATCCTCCACTATTCTAACCTCTCCTTTAAGAAATGAATTTCTGTGCCTGGACTCTTCTATGTCAGAAATTTCCAATTTCCTAGCCAACTGAGTAAGAACACGACTATCCCTATAAACCCATCAACTCCCTCCATAGTGCCTAGTACACACCAGTTGCTTACTACATGTTTGTTGATTGATCATGCCCTGATGCATGGCAAGGCTGAGGGACCCAGGTGTCCCAACTCACTGAACTCAGAAGATGTAGCAAGAACTTGATATAACAATGTGATGAGCTGTGTTCAGAGATCAACTTCTCACATGAGTATCCAAGACTTCCTCTTGTCATAGAAAGAAGATGATCATACCTGAGTTTCTGGAAAACATCTCTGGTTGCATTTCTTTCCTATCATTCCACATCCTGCTTTGGAGATCGTCTATTATTATCTTTACTATCCCTCTCTTCCACTAAATGTCTCCACCCTGAGGCCACTCTGTAAGCTACAGAAGTCTTCCCTTCTGAGAGTTACAACGTATCAAATAATGGCTGATTACTGCATTCAGCACAGAAATGTTGGTCTAGTTGTTTTGTGAAGTTCTGGTTAAGAATGTAATCTACTGTGGTATAATGGAAAAGAGGGACTTTTTAGGAGAAGGTCAAACTGATATGAGGTACTGGGTTCAATAATGGAACTGGGTAGTAAAAGCTCTGAAAGACCTAGAAGAGAAGTTTCATGGACAATCAAAGGCAAGGCATCAAATTCTTCCTTCCCTCTTCCATATTTGGAGTGTGGGTCTTAGGAATGGGGATAATGTTGACTATCAATGGTTGTGCTAGGTTTCAAGCAGAACTCTAGAAAGAAACTGCTTTCTGATGACTAGCTTAGCTTAAGTACAGAGTGACTCATCAACAGTAGGTTGGCCAGTGAGTGCTGAATCTTTGATCACAGTAGTCCACAAAATAATGAAAAGGACAAATGACTATGACAGAGTGCCAAAAATAGGGCAAGGAAAGTGTTATCACAGTTTTAAGGCAACTTGTGAATATTATTTAGCTGACTGTGCTCTAAATGTAGAACCTTTAGTAAATGACTGAACATACTATTAGAAAATTTGAATCAAAAGAAACTAGAAGACAAAATGAAGTTGCAGTTAAAAATAGAAGGATGGCTCACAGGTTCAACTGAAGGAAGCAAATGTAAAGCCTGGTGCAATATAATTTTTTGGGACACTTGGTTATCTCATACTGCAGTGTCCATGTTACCCAGTTGCAAAAAGACCAGCATAAAGATGCTATCAGTTTATGTGAAATCTATTACAGAGGATGAGGAAGAAGAAAAATTCTGCATTCTCTTGGTTTAACTCATTCTCTCTATTTATCCATCTCTTAAGTTAACCTTTCTACCCTGAGTCATGTTCTGATTAGTGGCTCCCCTGAAAGAGAAAAGCAGGCCCACAATACTTGTGGTAGAAACATAATACTGAGAGCTCCCAAGAAAAAGAAGCCTCTCAGAGGAAAAAAACAATTTCTGAAGGCAAAGACAGCAGGCCTTGTTTCCCATCAGGTTATTTAGAAATGACTGGGGAAGAGTATTCAAGGGGACAGCTAGGAAACCCTGATAACTAGAGCTTTTTGGTAATAATGGGATGATTATACACTGCTTAGCCAGAAGAAAATAAGGAAACACTGGGTATGGTTAGCACCAAAATAACATCACCAGAATAATCAATCATGTTACCATTTTTAGTCTGCTCCCTGTTAGAGCTGAGATAAAGATGAATCCCAAATGAGAAGAATTAAAAACATAAAGAGCTGGTGCTCAATCAAGGCAATTCCAACTTGCCCTAATTAAACAAGCTGTTGGTGCTGAAGAATGGGAACTGAATAAATGAGTAGACACAGACTCAGGCCATCACCATTTCCTAAGGAAGTTTCACTGACGTATAATTCACCATCAGACTAAAAACGTCAAAGAGTCTGACTCTAGAAGCTGTCTCACACAGCAAGCATTTCATCTACTTGTCAAGCAATAACATATATCCATATATGGAAAGAAGAGTGGGCAACAATAGTTTAGAATATGGTCATCTGTCAAAAATTACAGAAGGATGGTGGAGAAATTTGAGCTGCATAAGACAAAGCAAAAAAGCAACAAAGAGAAAAAACTTTACAGACAATACGGTTAAGGCAATGTGACCGAGCCAAATCATTTTAAGGACATTAAAATAAGAAATTTGAAGGGAAAACAGCTGAAAACTGGAAAAGATTTGTCAAGATTCTGACAATAAATTTTTCTCCATCAATGACAGTGCAACTTCCATGTTTAGATTCTAACATAGTCCCTTATATATTGTGGAAAGAAGTAGCAATGGCACTAAAGGGGAAAAAAAAAGTTAAAAGACCAGCTGGCCTTGATCAAATATATACAGAGGGGATGTGGAGTGAGCACAAGTTTGATTCTGTATGAAAGAGTGAATGGGCTATGATCTGAAAAACTGCAAGGAATGACTACAATGGCAAAAGAAATCATAGATTCACTGAAGTGACAAAGTATATCTAATTCAAGAGGAAAATGGACTTCTAGCTTATAGTCTCCCTCTTCACCAATCTAACCCTTACACAGTTGATCAAATAACCTTCCTAAAACATATATCTGACTGGGTCACTCCCCTGAACAGGGAACATCAAGAGTTCACTAAATATTTGTAAAATAAAATAGAAATTCTTTGGGTTTGTCCACTTGACTCTTTCAGGCTTACTACACACTATTTCCTATCCTGCACTCTACCTTCTAGCAAAATTTGCTATGTTTGTTCTCTCACTTTTGTAGGTGCCTCACCTTTTAGAAATTTTAACTTCATTTGAGTATCAGCTCATGAGTATTATATCCAGTGGGAAGTCTTCCTCTCTCCCTCCCTAAAGTGCTACTTAAATGCCTCATGATTATGTAGAGGAGATTTCAGAGTTCTGAAAGCAGCCAGTAGTACACATGTTCTAACAAACTTTTTTAAGCTGGAAAGACTGAGTATGGGCTTAGTGATGAAAGATGTGTGCACACAGATGAACAGACAGATCAAGCCAGCTAAATTAAAAAACATTTATCACTGGGTTGGCCAACATGATTAGAGTAATGCATTTTTTTGGTCACAGCAACTCAAAAAATCTGTTTACTAAGGCACAGAGGGACTGGGATCTGGATTTGTAGAAGGAATATTTGCACTGACAAAAATCACAGGTATAGGAAGCTCTGATTACTATCCTTTATGAACCCACAGATAGCAAAACAGGATTATGGCACCTTTCGCCCCTCTTGTCATCTTATCATATTAACAGCTAGCATTTATATAAGCACTTTACAAATATTATCTCATTGTATTCTCACAACCACTCTAGGAAGTAGGTGCTATTTTACAGAGGAAGAAATTGAGGTTTGCAGTTAATAAGTGTCTGGGGCCAAATCTGAACTCAAGGTTTTCTGGTTTCAAGTCTAATCCTCTATCCACTAGACCAATATCTTGAGGAGATTCATGTTCCACTTTCATAAATGAACACTCTGCCAGTGCAGTGCTACAAGCATATAACTACTTGGTCCAACAGATAAATGGCTTTCCCTCTTCCAAACAGAATAGGCAGTCTTCCCCATATTTTCTAAGAGGTGACTCTAGACATCTGGTATAGTATAGTATATATAGTATATAGTATAGTAGCCAGCATCAATAAATAAGTTTAAGAAACCTATAAGGTGAGCAATCTATATCACGGAAGCTACCAGAACAAAAACTTTTAATTACTCAGACATAAGCAAAAGAAGGCAAGAAGGTAAAAGAAAATGTGGGGACTGTTCTTCCATGCTCCCACAGGTACAAGTAGCTAGAAACTCTATGGCCCTGGATGAAGTAAAAAGCTCCAGGCAATGTAATTTCTAATTGTCTCCTATGAAAGAAATCTGTTGAATATTAAGATATTAAAAAAACCCCAAGATCTTAAAACTAAGATTACCCTAAACTGTTCAGAAGAAAACCCTTTCAGCTTAGTATCTAGGAAAAATCTGAAAAACCTATATTGGCTAGGACTGCAAAATCAACCAATGAAGAATCATTTATTAAGGGCCTACTTGTACGCGACTGATACAAAAAGAAACAATTCCTAAGTACGTAAATACATGTATACAGAAGAAATACGGAGAAAAGATATAGAAATAAAAAGTTATATACAAGTTATTTTGTGATCCTTCCAAAAGCTGTTAGAAGGATCAGGAAAAGATTACATGTAGAAAATGGCACTTGAGCTTCATCTTGAAGGAAGAGAGGAATTATATGAGCCAGATGTCAGAAGAAAGTACATTACAAGCATGGGGTACTATAAAGGAATGGAATGTTGTACGTGAGGAACACAGGCAATGCCAATTATGGGGGATAATGTCCAGTCAGGCTAGAAAGATAGGTTTGAGCCAGGCTGTGAAGGATTTTAAGAGCTAAATATAGGGGGTTTGTATTTAAGACTAGAGGAAAGACTGGAATTAATTCACATGAAGAATGAAATGCTTAAGGAAAATCACTTTGACAAGCACTATAGAAGTTAAGACTGGAATTGGGGATAGAATTGAGGCAGGAAGCCCAATTAGGAGGCTGTTGCAATCATCTAGGCAAGAATTAATGAATACACGAACTAAGAGGACAGATATCTTAGTGAAGAGAAAGTATCAAATGTGAGAGATCTTATAAAGGTAGAAATGAAGAAATTGACTGGATAAGTGGGGGCAAGGTAGAATAAGGATTCTAGAATAACACCAATGTCACATACTTGGGACACCAGAAGAATGTTGATCTCGTTGACAGAAATAGAGAACTGTAGAAGAAGGCAGGGTTTGATAAGAAAGACAGGAATTCAGTTTTGGACATGCTGGGTTTGTGATGCTGCTAGGCCTGTGATCCAGCTTAAAATGTCCAACAGGCAACAGGTAATATGGGACTGAAGCTCAGAAAAGAGACTGGCCAGCCATTGAATCCAACTCATAGCTGAACAATTCTTTACACCCTCTACATCCTGTATCCTGCCTTTGATTTTAAGTGAAGTGTAGAATGTGGCAACCAATGTGATGTCAGGTGCTCTCCTCATTTGTGTAATTAATTTACATGAAATTAAAAATGTAATTAATTACATGTGGTTATAATTGGGGGTTAATGGGTGGTGAGGAACTTGAGAAAATGACTATGGTATAAAAAACAAAAGGAATCAGACTTAAAAAATAAATTTAGTGTTAGAGTGACAAATACATTCAATTCTTTTTCCTGAGGAACTTGATATCCCACTAGAAAATTAGTTTCTCAGAAAGCTTTTAAGATTCAGTATTTTAAAAATAGCAAAAGAAATGGTTTTAGAGAAACCTTAGAAGACTTGTATGAAGGAGAACAATGTATACAATAACATCTTCTTAAAGGCAACTTTAAAAGACTTAAAAACTCTGTTCAATTCAATAACCAATCACAAGTGCAGAGATGAAGCAGGCTACCCACCTCCTGAAAGAAAGAAGTTAAAAGGGGGTCATAGTTACAACTGAAGGCCTCAATATTCTGAGTAAAGCAAGAAATGAATGAATATAAATTCAGAGTGAGGAGAGCAGAGAAGGAACTGGGGACTTGAGGGAAGCAGAAAATGTCTGGAACAAGCCGTGATGGCAGAACATCTACTAAAAGTCATTAAAAGGAATGCTGACAAATGTTAAAAGACCCAGATGAGACTGTTTACCTTCAAATAGTACAGACAACAGATTTTTTTTTTTATCTTTTTCCAGCAATGCTCTGCATGCTAAGAGGAGCTGGAGAAATAGAAAAAGCCCCCTTGAACCCAGGAGTTCCTGGAAAGTACTAGAATGCTCTGGTGAATTAATGTATGTCAATTTAACAATTCCATGAATACTTCCCCAGTTGCTATATTGACAAACTAAGTCATAAAATGCAATACATGAATAAGCAAATCTATTCTAAGATCTAACTGAATTGTAGAAGCCATTCATTCTACAATCCAGATCCTAACCTCTTTGTGAAGGCAAAGTGGCAAAGGAAGAAGCATAAAAAAGCTATGCTAAATTAAAGAGAGAAAAAATAGAGATTTTCTGAAAATGGCAAGCACAGGCAAATGCTGTAGCAGCACATTTTTTTTTAAACCTATGTGGTATGTCATCAATACTAAGAATCAACTTAAGCTGTTGACTCATGTAGTACCATGGAAACCACTAACTTTGAATACCCAAACTACATTTAGTAGTGATTCAGTGACAAAATTAATGCCACTATATTTGGTCAAATACTAATTTAAAAAGGCAAAATGTTTCTCTGTTGACTAAGCAACATGAACTTGTGGCTTTGGTGTTTTAAGTAACAACAAGATTTAAAATTTCGATTTAGCTGGTGAAAAACAGTCAACATTCACAAATCTCAAGAAAATGTTGTAGCTTTTTCTAGAAAATTATTTTTTGAGAACAGCGTAGCCCCATGGCCAGCTTTATAATACTAACGTAAAAAGTTCATTTTTGTCTCTGCATATATGATTTTTAGGAGTACATGAACAGGAATGGTGGAGGATAGATAGGCATAGAAGGATTATAATCTGCATTACTGGAGGAAACTAAATCTAAATCAATGAGACCATAAATCCATCTATCTGTGCCAGGGTTTATCTACCCTGGCAAGTACTAGTAACTTAACTGCCCCTAGGTCTTAAGACTGTGAAGGACAGTAACTGTTCTTATATATGTGAATGCTGCAGGCTGTCAAAAAAATTATACCTTTAGTAATCAGAAAATTTCATTATTCTAGTGCTAACAGACAGACAAAGAAACATCTTGACTGGCTGTAGCATCCTTTAAAAAAAACCCAACAAACCTTCAGTAAAGGTTCATTTGAGAATCATTACCTTACTGGAGTGTAGCAAAGGCTTCCTTATTTTAAGACAATTATAATCTGTCCTGAAGCTGCAGGATTATTGCCTGGGAATATTTTACCATCTTTTACCTGCTAATGTTAAGTACTCAATGATCCAAATGATAAACTATTATGTGTTACAGAACAGGAAATCTAACTTCAGAAGAGATTTCATAAGAAATCATGCAGACATCACACCAAATGTCCAATCTTGTTATGATGTTAGAGATGGTACAGATGGTACATCCTGGGAATTTTGGCTATAGAGAAAACTGCAGACTAATATGTACTATTTGCAGAAGTTTATCCCCAATACTGAATTCTTGAAATACTATGGAATATTCCTGATTCATACCTAAACAAATGAGGGAAAAGAGCACAGGCAAAAGCTGACAATACCTGTGGGTCATCTGTGTTAGTAATGTAGAAATAACAGATGTTTTAGATGCTCCTGGACAAGTCAAAGGACACTGATCCTAATAATGAAGATAGTGATGATTTTTCTGAAGTGAAGAACTTAAAAGAAATCTACTTTAGCCTCTGATCCAACTATTTGCAAAAAAGCAGCTTTCTTACACTGATCTACACATTCTTCATGCTACTTTTATAAGAAGCAAACGATTTAAAACCAAGTCATTATGAGATACTATTCAAAAAGGCCAGTTCCACAGCAGAGTAGTAATCAAGGTTCCTTCTACCCCATAGGCTATGCCACCTGCACCTGCATTTATAGCTACAGCTACATATGCAACAAAGAGTTGTTCATAATGAGGACGCTGGTTAAGAACAAAAGTTTTAAGTTATATTCAGTTGCTGTTTAGAAAGATGATAATAGTTTGCATTTATATAGTGCCTCTTCAAGTCATTTACAAAGCAATTTGTATGTGTCTCTTATTTAAGCTATATAAATAGGTAAGTGTTAGAATTATCCCCATTTTACAGATGAGGAAACTGAGGCGTGGAGAGGTTAAGTGACTTGCCCAGGGTCACACAGCTAGTAACAGGATCTGAACCCAGGTATCCCTGACTCTAAGTCCAACATACAGTCCACTATGCCATGCTGTCTCTCAAGATAAGATTTTATTTTTAAAGAAAGATTTATATTAAAATAGTTAAAATGTTAAGGCACTTGGCAAGTTAAGATTGGGCAGAAAATAAATTCACCCAAAAGGGCTTCTTCTTGTTCTATAGACTTTCAAGTATATAAAATTTACCACCATTATTTACTCGGTTGACTAAATAGTGGCAATATGAAATACATGAAGACTTTGTAAAAATTATACATTGCTAAACCTTACTGACATGTAAATTGAAAACCTTACTTTAATATTTTAAAGTAAAATTAAGTTCTATTAATAGAAAAAATATGTTACCTTTTTTTGGTAAATGTTACTACTAAAATGAAAACATTTTTACATTCAAAATACTTAGTATATTTTATTTTAATAACCTCTAAGGTGAAAAATAAAATATTACCTCAGGTTTAGCTTCTTTTTCCATAGTGATTATTTCATTCTTTAACCTAATGGAAGTAAAATAGGTATTCGAGATTTTACTTGTCTTTTAAGCAATAAAATATCTAATTCCTATTTTTTCATGCTTAAAAGAAAATTATACTGTAAATATACAGATTCATGCACAAATTATTGTATACATTTTCAGTAAGTATTTTAAAGTAGAAACAGAATATAAAGACTTGATCATATGAAGATTTATATATAAAACATGCTCCTTTAATTTTTCCAAATGATAAGAAACTTTAACCAGGAATTTATAGTCATATAAGCACTTAGAAATTTTGTTTTAAGTAGTCAGTAAGCATGTTAGATAATAAATCTGTTATTTCATAACAGTCAAATGCTATCCAAATGATAAATCAAACTGTTTGCTGAAGGAGCTGTTAATATTTAAAATTTTTGCAGCTAGACATTTTAAAAATTATTTTCACTTATGTTTAAAAGCAAGTTTTTTTAAGTTTTTTTTTTAAAGAGATAAATACTTTAATGAACTAAAAGGTTACAATATAATTACCAGTTAAAACTTAAGATGCAATATGTTTTTTAAACTATCCAAAATAATGCTAGGTCAGATTATTATAAATAGGCTATTCTGAATGCCATAAAATCAAAGGAGAACTAACTTTGATTCTATTACCATCATTGATTTCCTGTGTTTATTATATAAGAAAATGCTTACGTAGAGATGGTGGAAAGTCTGTTTCCTATGAAATATTGTAAGTCTTCAGTTTCAATACAAAATTTAACTTTTCAAAGGCCTGTTTTAGAAATCTCAGATGATACTGCATAAAGTTTAATTTCAATCTGTTTAAGTTGGGAGCTGTTTAGCATATCTGATATGAAATGTAATTAATCAAGAATTAAGTGATTCATAACCTCATGAAGTTTAATGACTATGCATGTATGGAACAATATTTTTAAAATAAGACATAAATATATTAACTTCAATTTTATAGGGAAAACCACTAATGTTTGAAATACTATTCATCTGAAACTGAAATGCTATCCATCCTAACTGTTAAATAATAACTGACTAGTCAATGAAAAGTGATGTTGACAAAGAAAGTCTTCTTCAATATCATTGTGCTCTCTATGGATACAGTTCAAAAATTACTTTTACTAATGGTTATTTTTACTGGATATTAATAATGACTTTGTTAGTGCTACATAAAACCATTTGCATTTATTTTAATTATTTTACCCTGAATTTATGTTACAAATATAGCAAACATACTGAAGAAAATATGTAAACAATTTTTCTTTTAAAGTATCAGTATATATTGCATTATGACAACTTACAATTAACTATAAGAAAACATTAACAAGAATAAAACAAATGCCAACACTGAATAGAATGAATAATTCTTAATCAATTTTGGGAAATCAGGAATTTGTAATCTATATAATTATCAGTGTAACATCTCAAGCAGAAACTACATCCTTATCATTTAAAATGGAATTATTATGACCAAACAGGGTTTTAAATATTTTGTATTATTTAACATAATAATTGGTATGGTTAAGGAAATATAGTTTTAAACAATCTTAGGAACCAAAACTTGTGTTATCTTTGATTATATAGTAAAAGCTTAGCAAGTACTTTTGATTACATAGCTAACATAGTCAATGAAATGTGGCTCCTTTCATAAAAACAATTTACTTTGCACTTAAAAAAAAATCCTTTTTTTTTTTTACTATAATTGTATAAAAATGGACTCCTAACTACAACTTTTCTGTTTCAAGCATTATCTACTTTAAGCTAATTATAACTAGTATTTAAACAGTGCATACATTACTGAGTTAGACTGAGTTTAAATGACTTGCCCAGGGTCACACAACTATTAAATGTTTAAGGCTAAATTTGAACTCTAGGTCCAAATGCTCTATCCAATGAACCACTTAGGTGTCTATTCCACTTTGGCCATAGGTTTGAGTCTAATAAGATTATAGAAGGCCAAACCTAATGCATAACAAAGAGTTTTACTTTAACTCAACATGGTAGCTTATATTTCTAGGGAAGTAATTAGATATCTGATTATATCATTTTTTTAAAAAAAATCAATAATCTGTATACTAACCAGTTGTAATATTATGAAACAAATGGACCACAAAGTTGTGTTTTTTAAAAGTTGTGTATTTAAAAACTTAATTTTATTTTTCTTAAATACTTCATCAAATTATACAGTTACCAAGTGTTTTTATTACCCTCACTTAGAGATAGGGCATAAAGAAGCTAGATGTTGTAGAAAGAACACTGAACTGGTAAAGTAAGATCTGGTTTCAAGTCATGGCTAAGATTTACTGCTTGTGTAATCTCAGTTTTCTCATCTGTAAAATGGTGAGAATACTGGTACTATCTACCTTGAAGGTTTGTGAGAATCAAATGAGAAAAAAACATTTAACACTTTATAAAGTGTTGTGATTTTATTGGTCAAGAAATTGAGATATTAAATGAAAGACTTGGACTAGGTAACACTATAAGTTGCATGACAGAGGCTTCCAGGCCCATTTCTGGTCCCACTTTCAAAGTGAATAAAGCACTTACTAATAATAATGATGACGATGATTCAGATTTAGAAGGGCCATACAAGAGTTTTAATTGGGATATATAAATAAATCACAGGATATATGGTTAATATTATTCATCATAAAATCATATTTAAATTACATCTTAAAAATTTTAGGGTAGTGTGGCAGAGTAAGGAGAGCTGGTTTTAAGACCTCTGATACACATTAACTGTCATAGACTGCAGTTTTGTGTTTTTTAGATTTTTAAAAAATGCTTATGTAGTAAACACTATTTTTAACACTTATATTGTTCCTAAGTAAAAGAAAATTAGTAAATATCTATATATTATGTCTGGGTTTAATATTAGTAAAAGTAAACACACCAAACTAACTTCCAATCTTGTCCCCCCAACAAAACCCAAAACATACAATAACTGGGGATAATGGAGGTATATAATATCAGAGTCCATTAAGTATATAATCTTATATAACCTTTGAATCTGACAGCATTTCCTAAAGAATTTAAGTTATTGGCTAGGTAAACATTACACACCTGGAATTCAGGAAGGTTTTTTTCTTTTTTAAGAGAAAACATTTTCTTTAGAAAGCAAGTTTTATGTATAGAAAATTAATTTAAAATTTTTATTCTAAGTAGTTTCTAAATTTAATTTAAAAATTTTATTCCAAGTAGTTTTAAATTGTGGTTTTATTTGTTAAGTTTTTAAAGTTAATTATTCTTTAGAAGTACCCAGGGTCTTCATTCTGACCACTGTTAAGTTATCATTAGTCATGATTAGCATTATTTATCTAGGTGATCTGAGATGCATAGAATTTTCAAAATGCTTTATGGCCTCACATAACAGTTTGGACAATATTGAGATTTAAGAGTTGTGAAACAAGCAGCTATATGAAACTTGGTGACAATTTTAAATATAAGAAATTCTATAAAATGAAGCAAAAAGCTATGAGAGAAAAACAAAGAAATATGAACACAAACAAACATGGAGGAAAACAACATAAATTTCACCTAATCAATGAATGGAAAGTTTAAAAATCAGTACTGGTAAAAAAAATTGTAGGAGTGACAATGAATAGCAAATTATAAATGAGAGTAAAAATAGTGCTGGTCCGGAATGCAATTGCTGTGATATGATGGTCATGGGCAAGAAAACTGCAGCTTGTCTACACCTTGAACTTGAACTTAAGTTTTGGAAGTCTGCGCTTTCCATTTGGAAAATTAATGAAAGAATGCAATTTAAAAGACTGCAGCCAAAATGAACAAGCTTCAAACTTCAAACTACATCAGGACTAAGATATTGAAGCAATGGGCTGCCGGGCTTACTGGCTAGAACTGGACCAAAGATTAAAAAGAAGAGCCACAGCCCCCAGTGGGAACTATGCTCAACTTGGTGTGCCTTGTGGCCTTCTAGGCCACATCAGCATCAGACTTACGGGAGGCCAGCCATGTAGCAAGGCACTCTCCCCAAGATCTGATTGCTTGAGGCGACAACCTGGAGCAGGTTCCATAGTCAGACTATTCACGATCCTTGGTAAGGGAGAACAGGCACCAGTTGTGTCCATCGGAGGGGGACACTGTCCAGATATACCCTGGACATTTTTTGAAATCTCTGGGCTGCTTCTGCATCTGAAAAATAAGAAAAATAGCAAAATAACAGACAAAGAATGGAAAGAAAGAAGAGTTAACTGACCTCAAACTCAGACTTACAAATAAGAAATCAATTAAGAAACAAGACAGGACAGATCAAAAAGACAAACACCTATATTATTTAATGCAAAACATACTGATGTCAACATATTAGATACTGTAAAAGAAAAGACATAAATTAAGCAAGGTTTGAAAGGACTATAATAGCAAAAGTTATTTCAGAATAAAGCCAACAAGAAGAAAAATAGATGTTAAAAACCTGACAGAAAGATCAGGTAAAATAAGTACCTAATACCATTTGTGAACTGGAAAGAATTGAATAATGTTGGCCACTGGTCAAGGAATGTTAATGATTGAAAACACCTAGGCCTATGAATTTAGGAAATTCCATTTTGTCTTATACCAGGGTCATAAGCCCCACACAGAGCAGAAACCACTTACAACAAGTACCTTAAACAAACAAAAAACAAGTGCACACACACAAACACATACACACCTACACTCTTCAATATTTTTTTGGTTCTGTCAATGGCATTTGAAAAATCCAGCAGTGCTAACAGCCACCAGTACATAAAGTACTCTGAAAAAAAAATCAACTTACTCTGGAAGTTGTTCACAACTTGAGATGGAAACAGGCACTGAAATAAGAAGAAAAGTTTTACCTTTAAAAGCAAGAAATGACAACTGGGCCAATGTTGTAGTTAACTAAAATGTTTTATTAAAAGTAATACAATACATAAATACTTACTATTTTCTTTAATAACTTGGCATGTGTGAGTGTCACTTTCACTTAAATGTGTGGCCATATTATCTACACCAGAAACATCAGTTAGGAAATCACAATTAAGGCACACTACAGTAATGCCCCTAGGAGAGAAAAAAAATGGATATTCAAGTGTTTCACCTTTTAAGTTCCTATAAAATTTCATTGATTATTTTCCTTATAACAATAATATTCACTATCATAATGACTATTTCTAACATTTTTTCTAGAAAATTCTACTACGACAAATAATTGTTAAGGAAAAAGAAATTAGTATGTGTGAAGCAAACAAGTTGAAATGAATGCTTTCACTAAGCTCTAACTTTTACTATTTGAAATATTTCCATATATATTTCTTTCAAAAGTTAAGCATGTGAAGATTGAGGTTCTTGTAGCCTAATCCACTAATGACTAGATCATGTAACTTTGGGAAAGTCACAATTTTTCTGTGCCATTGCCCATTCACAAAACAAGAATATAATATTTGTCAAATGTACTTCAGTGTTACTGTGGGGATAAAATTAGAGAACAGATGGATGACTTACAAAGTAAAAAGACACATTCTCTTCTTAATCATTTCTTTGCAATGATCAATTACCACAGTCTCAATGGATACACACTTGAAGTTCAACCCACTGATATCTTTAATACTACTCTTAAATAACCAACAATGTCACAGGTTGTTTTTTTAGGAAGTTATTTGAAAATATTAATACAAATACCAGTTATTATTATTAAACATGGATACATAAAAAATACAAATGGAATCTGTCACTTCATCCACTAATCCAGCCTCTCCCCTTAATTTCACTATGTCTACTAAATTTACCCCTATATTAGCCAAGCTTCAGTCATTTGATAACTTTGTATTTTCCATTTTCCTTACATCTACCCCACCTCCTCCCAATTCCTAGAGTCATTAAATCATACTGATTTTTCCCCACAAAGTGCATCCTGAAGCTGTTTTTTTATTCCTTCTACCACCATCTTATTTCAGCTACCAATTATCATATATGTGGACTACAACAGTAGTAATTTAACGAGTCTTCCTACTTGGAGGTTCTATCTCTCTCTCCAATCCGTTCTGAACTTCACTGTCTACTTAATTATCTTACAATACTTCAAAGTCCTTATTACCCACCATCTAAATTCAATTTTCTTGCATTCAAAATTTCACAAAATAGCACAACCTTATTTCCCACTACTCCCCCTATAAGCAGCTACCACGGGTGGAGAACCTGTGGCCTCAGGTGCGGCCCTTTGACAGAATCCAAACTTCAGAGAACAAATCCCCTTAATAAAAGGATTTGTCCTGTAAAACTTGGACTCAGTCAAAAGGCCACACCCAAGGGCCTAGAGGGCCACACATGGCCTCGAAGCTGAGATTCACCATTCCTGTATGTAGCCAGGCATTCCCTGCAAACAAGCTATACTTTCCAACTTTCATATCTTTCTTCATGTCACTACTTCCACTTAGACTCTCTGTCTCACTTCCACCCCCTTAAGTCCTACCAATTTTTAAATTCCCTATCAAATTCTACCTTTTTTTCTTGACCACTTATCTGCCCCCTTCATCCCCTCCTTTTGCCTGAATTACTCTTAGGGCACTTAATTAAATATGAGATACATAAACATATTTTCCCCTAATTAAAATGTCTTGGTAAGTTTCTTTTCATCAAAGAGAGTATCATGTATATCTTGGCATTTGTGACAAAATCTAAAACAATGCACAGCTGGCAAATCAATACACATGTGATAAAAGGAAATCATATCTTCATTCTAATCCCAGGATTTACAATGACTTCAAAGAAAATTCCTTTGCATAGTAAAAATATAAGCAATGAAAGATAAACACTGATTATAAAGGGGAAAGAGAGGAATAATTTTTCAATTTCAATATTTATGTTACTGAATAATGTTAATTTAACAAAGTCAAAAATAACCAGCTAACTAGTATAAGTAAATATACATTAAAGCTCATATATAGAAAGTGGCCTATTTTTAATTAGGCTAGTCCATTGGAAAACTGACATATCATACCCACATGAATACAGACCAAAGGTTTTTTTTTTTTAAATGTATTGGACAATACCATCAAGAATAATTAGCTTAAAGATTCAATGTTTTTTGGAATAATATAATTTTAAAAATTCATTATTATTTTAAAGGCCACTGTTAATAAATGTAGTACCTAAAAAATTAACAATCATTTAAAACTTTTTTCTAATTTATTCATTGTTGTTTTTATAGAAATTTTATTTTTTAAGCATAAAATCAAAATTGTCTCTGCATTTAGACTTTATCCTAGCTGCAAGGGCTCCACCATTTGATATGTGCTATTCTGTTAAAAAGAAGTTTCTCTATTTTATATGTATGTATGTAGGTATGGATAGATGCATGCATGCATGTATGTATGTATGTACATATATGAATGTTAAAATCAAAGGTTATGGATGGGAAGTCCCTTATATTTACCAAAGCTATACTTTTTCACCACTGAAAACTTCTGAACTGTATGTACTGGTTAACTTGGTACCTATCTCTCAAGGTTGTCTTAGAATGAATGTTTCAAATAGCAATGTATTTAAGCAACTATTTCAACAAAGATAGATAATGGAAGAAGAAGAAAAGGAAGATTAAGAGGAAAGGGGAACTCAATAGCCTAAGATTAATAGCTCTGGTCACATATTCTTGTTTTTTTAGATGTGGGCATTAGAGAAATAATCTTAATCACTGACATTTGAAATGCTCACATAGAGGTCATTTTTGCAGGAGTAAATATTTTGTCTCCTATTTATGAAAGTCTGATTTTTGGGGCAGCTAGGTGGCGCAGTGAATAGAGTACCAGCCCTTAAGTTAGGAGGACCTGAGTTCAAATTCAGCCTCAAACCAAACACTTGACACTTACTAGCTGTGTGACCCTGGGTGAGTCACTTAACCTCTATTGCCTTAAAAAAAAAAAGAAAGAAAAGAAAAAAATAATATAAAAAAATTAAATAAAATAAAAAAAAATAATAAAATAAAAGTCTGATTTTGAAATAAAAGGTAGAATTCTGAAAACTTTTATACTATATGACTTATTCAGAAAATATTTCAGAAACTGAAGTCCAAGTCAATTAACAGAACTATCCTGAAGCACCTTTTGACAATCAAAATTGGTAGAATGTTTTGCTTCAGTAAGAACAGGGTTGCCTGATTCTATAAGGGCATGAGAGACCTTGAACCTTTAGTATAAGACTGTATTAAATGCAAAATGATAAAACGCTAGTATTAAAATTTAAATTGCTCAAATGTTATCATTTGATTAAAATTAAATCTGTACCTCAAGTCTTCTGAATGCTTCTTAAAAATGCAAAACCTTTTACTTGCACGGGCGCTGTGAAAGCTAATGGAAAAAAAGGATTTAAAAATAAGATTATGAGTTGTGTTATACAATGAACATTTATTTACCAACATCTCTGAAAGCTAAGTAAATTACAAGATTTCTAGTTCTGATGAAAAGTTGATATAGTAAAACTACTATTACTGTTGTTTGAATAATGTTTTTGTATTTTATACTCATTTCATTGCTGTTTGAATTCTAAACTGGGAGATATCATCTTGGGAACATTATGGTGTATTTGTAGATTACCTGGTACCTCAACATTACAAAAACAATTCATGAAATACTGTCCTACATTGTATATGGAAAGTGTACAATAGTTATTGCTGTGTGTTTAAAGCCCTAAAATGCAATGTGACCAGTAAAGCCCAGCAGCAAGCAAAAAAGATAAATTCCACTTGAAAACAACCATAGTAGGTTATCAATACTTGGGAGTCTTTTATTAAAACACATATAGGAACTATATTAATACCACTTCTAAGTATATGAGTAAAACTACAAAGTATACTTTATGGAAATAAAGACAGGACTAAATAATCAGAGAAATATTAATTGCTCATGGGTAGGCTGAGCCAATGTACTAAAAATGACAATGCTATCTAAACTGATTTACATATTCAATGCTATACCAGATTACCAAAGGATTACTTGCTGTAACTAGAAAAAAAAAATAACGGAAGTAAAGGTCAAGAATCTCAAGGGAAATAATGAAATAGGTGGGAAGGAAGATGGTCTAGCAGTGCCACATCTCAAACTATACCACAAAGAGTAAATCATCAAAACCAAAGCAATATAAAGATGATCAGTGGAATGGAACAGGTATATAAATTATGGAAGAAAACAAATACAGCAGCTCAAGAACCACAGCTATTGAGAAGTCAGGCAGAAATTAGGTAGGGGCCAACATCTCACACTTTATACCTCCAAATGGATGCATGACTCAGATATAAAGGTACACATTATAAAAAAATGAGAGGCGCAAGGAAGAAATTACCTTTCAGATCTACAGATGTAGAAGACTTCATGATCAAATAGGAACAATTTTATCACAGAAATTCAAATTAGATAACTCTGATTACATAATTTTTTTTGCACAAACAAAACCAATGCAGCTAAAATTAGAAGGGAAACAAGGAAAAAAATCTTTGCAAAATTTCTTGGATAATGGTTTTATTTCCAAAGTATATAAGGAACTGATGCAAATTTATAACAAGAGCCATTGGCACCAAATGCCTAATAATTAGGGAAATGCAAATAAAAGCAACACCGAGGTTCTATTTCATTCCTATTAGATTAAAAAAAATGGACAAGATAAGAAAATGACAAATGTTGGAACAGTTATGGAAAAACACGTAATTATTTGCTGTTAGTGGAGCTGTGAACTGGTCTAGCCATTCTAGAAAACAATGAAACCATGCCCCAAATGTTATTAAGCTGTTCGTATCATTTCACCCAAAAATATTACTAGTAGACCTCTAACACAAAGAAGTTAAAAAAGGACAAGAACTCATTTTTTTTAAATAGCTATTTTATAGTAGCAAAGAACTAAAAACTAAAGAGATGCTTATAAATTGGGGAACAGTTTAACAAATTACGGTATAGGAATGCAATGGAATACCATCATGTCATAAGAAATGACCAAAGGGCCAGTTTTCAGGGAAACATGGGAAAACTGTATGAACTAATACTGAGTGAAATTAGCAAAACCACATAAAAATATTATAAAGACAAACTCTGAAAGACTTAATTCTGATCCATCCAATGACCAACCATGATTTCAGAGGACTAAAGATGAAGCACGCTACCCATTTCTTGACAGAAGTGATGAACTCAAATACAGAAAGAGATATTTATTTTTGGACGTGGCCAATACAAAAATTTGTTTTACGTGAATATCCATACTTGTGCCAAGGATTTTTTTCCCTTTTTCTTTAATTGGGTAGGGTGGGGGATAAGGAGGTGACAAGAAAACATTATCAATTTTTAAAAAAAAAAGCAAAAATCAAATCTAACACATGTAACTTTAGGCATATGAATTCATGGATGAAATAAGATGAGAATTTTTTCTTTTTTACAGATGAAATGTATTGAGCTTGCCTAAGATCACAGTTTTGCATAGTCAAACTAAACTAGTTGCTAAAGCAAAGAATTGAGATTCTCCTTTTAAGGCAACAATTAAATGATTATAAATTGAAGTGAAAATTTTAATATAATGCTCAAAATAATTTCCTTGTATTCCCTTTCTGATGTAGGTTTATATGCATATATTTTGGTATAACCTTGTGGCTTCAGCAATATAGAAAACTTCCTCCACACAAATGGAAACCAGGGATTTGTAGCTGCAGAGATTTGCTTGGAGGCAATGAGAGGTTAGATGATTTGTCCATAGTCATATAATTAGTATATGTCAGAAAAAAGTCTTGAACCAAGTCTCCCTGACACCTAGGCCAGTCATACTAGTCACACTGCTTCCAGTTAAATATTTTATTTTTTAGAAAATATAGATGCAGATTATTTACAGAAAATGGCTTAATTACTTAATATTTTGATAACATTTTTAGTAATCTTAAGTTTTTATACTGGTATGCTTATCTGCTTTCAGGTTTATTTGGTCTCAAATTCAATATTCAGCAACTTTGAATCTAGCACATTCTCAAAAATACATTAAAATGGCTAAAACCACAAAGCAATTTAAAAACAATAATGATTGCTCCATTTCTGAAATAACTCAAGTGATTTGAAAATATTCATTAACACAGCAAAATTAATCTAATACAAGAAAAAGAATAAAACAACCAGAATACATCAATGAGTAAATATGGTCCTTAAAGTGCATTAGGACACAATAAATAGGAAAGAACAACTACAAAACAGTGAAAAGCGAATGAAGCAAAATTACAAAGAATGAGCGTGGACCCAAAAAACAAATATAAGAAGACACTCCCACACCACTTCTTTGCAGAGGTGTGAAGTCCACCAGTTTGAAACACTGTATATATTTTCCAGGCTTTTTTGAAGTACAGCTCAATTTAGCTAACTATTTCTTTTCCTCTTTTTCTTTAAAATAATAATTTTCTATGTGAGGCATTAGGAGGAAAAGGGGGACGGAGATACTGGGAGAAATTTTGGCAAAGTAAAACACAAGATACCAATAAAAATGTAGTTTTAAAAAGACAGAAAATTCTTTAAAGGACCTCAATTACACTTAAAATTAGTGTTACCCTCACAGTTATCAGTACTGTTACCAATTCCAGAAAGTACTATTTCTTTCAGATTTACTTACTATTGTTCATCCAAGAACATTTTATCAACTAACACAAGTGGAAATATTTACAAAAGCATTTGTTATAAGTTATTTTGTTATGATATCAAAGGAATGTTCTCTATTAGTTTCTGATTTGAATATAGAAATGGAGGTGAGAATAGAAGTATCTAATTACCAAAAGAGAACTACTTCAATAAAATACTGGTTCTGCCATTTAAAATCACTTAGATCACACACACACACACACACACACACACACACACACGTATGTATATAAAATTTAATAAGAACAATGTATTAGTAAGTGATTCTTTTTTTTTCTAAAAGAAATTAAGAGCCTAAAAATTTTTAGATGAAAATTTAGTTTAACAATAAAATTAAAACTGCGGTTAATATAAACATCCTCCCCTTTAAAACCAAAAAGTTAAAAGAACACCTTTTATAGGGCAGATTGACTCTCATTCTTTAGCCACTGGCAAGAGTACTTTTCCCACACTAAAACCAATGCATACAAGCTCCTTATGGAGAAATAGGGTTTGTCTAGTATTCACTGATAATTCCAGGATTTCTCTAGATCCCAGTTCAGTTACATTTGGGAACATCAGATCTAAAGGCAAAGACATGTTACAGTATTGTTTGAATGCACAATGCAATAAGGATTTAAAAAAGTAAAAACAGAACAAAACCCACAAAAAATAAAAAAGTACCATTTACAAAGTATACATGTATTGTTACACCCCACCAAAGTGCATTTCCCACAATACTTGTTTCGTTTAAAACAGTATTCTTAATTGCTCAAATTCCTCAATATTTTAAGTTACTTTTATACTTGTTTTGTAAAATTTTCACAGAAGCAGTTATGTATTCCTGGGGAAGAGTTTGTACGTGGAAAGGTAGGGAGAATAAAGTTTTTTTATATTTTCTAGGTAGCTGCAGTTATTTCTATGGTTTACCTTTAAAAAAAATAAAGTTGGTTAATTGAGGTTTTAGTAGATTTAGAAACTCTAATCTCTTCCTATTTATAAAATGTTTAAAATATAAATTCAATAGTTTTACTTATGTGGATTTTTGGAAACAGGAAAAAAGCATAATTTGTGACAAAGTAAAAGCATTAAATTAATCTTTTCATGATTAAAGCCAATGAGCAATGCAGGAAATTTTCTTAATTTAGAAGCAAAAAGATCATAATTCTATTCATGATGAGGGCAAAATCTCCTGAAGATTTAGGGAAAGAAATGCTGAAGAAAAAAAGTCTCATTTTCTTAAAAGCAACCTTGACTTGATTAATAATTTTACTGATTAAAGAAAATAAAAATGGGAGTTTTTTTGGTATGATTTTAATGACCAAGTTTATTCCCAGAGAAGATGTAAGAAAATGTATCTCCTCATTTTACTGAGGACTTGATAGAATTAATTTTTTCAACTTTTTATATTTATAAAAAATTTTTTTACAAGAGAAAACTTGGGAAATAAAGGAATGGAGATGGGGAAAATGTAATGTAGACATCAAAGGCATCTATAAAAGTTAAAGGGAAGGATTTACTCATTTTATCCAGCATTTTCTTAGTCTGTTTCCTATCATTATTAAGGTCCACCATTTAATAAGCAGCAAATTCATATAAAAACCATGAGGGCAATTTAAGTCAGTTAGTCAACATGTGTTTTCTTTGTGGCAAGAACTAGGTTAAATGCTAAAGAAACAAAGATACGGCTTCTGCCTTCAAGGAGCACATAATCC